ATATTCGTAATCAGGATGTTAAACTACCCCTAATACAAGTTTTTAGCGGATTTGGTAACTTAGGCAATTTAAAAATGAGCTCGGTGCCGAAGTTGCTGGAGTCCAAACGGCATTAGCCCATTGGTGGAAGGGCTCAGTGGGGTATGGCCGATCGCTCTCCCGCAGCCTTTCACCAATGGTGCTGCCAGCAACCACTCGCCCCAGCAATAGTGTCCACTGCTTTTGATGAGGGGTGGGGAGGAGGAGGCGAACGTGTGAGCTAATCCGTTTGCTGGAGGCAAACCAAGTCTTTTCGGGGGCTACTCCTTTCCCAAACGGACAAGCTAGGACGCGCTTCTTCCCTGTTCGCCCGAGTGCTCTCAACGGTGTAATCTCTGCTTTTGGTAAGAGTGCAGAGGGGCAGAAACCTGCTCGCCCACTGCTGTTTCCCTAGGCTATCTTTGCGCCTCTCGTTGTGCATTATTTTGTGACATCTCGGTAGAGGTATTCCTTCCTCTGAGTTTGCCACATCCTTGAACAGTTTTCTCTCCTATACATTTGTGTTCGCTCAGTTGGCACACATCGGAGCCCATAGTCACCTATTCTCCCTGAAGGAGAGGGGGTCTCGTTGTTGCTTGCCTAGGACTTTCGAAGTCGAAGACTTCCCTTATCGGGTGCTCCTCAAGCTTTCTCAGATCATGTCCGTACCATCACAGTCGCTACTATCGTGCCTTTAGCTGGATCGAAGCCCTCGTGACCGCCTTGATGTCATCCTTTCTGACTCTTTTTAGTCATATCCAGGCCCATCTCAGCATTCTCATTTCAGCTGAGTGGAGCTGCCTTTCATGGTTCTTGCAGATGGGCCAGCACTCGCTGCCGTAGAGCATTGTAGGCCTTACCACTGCCCGGTACACCTTGCTATTGAGCGTTCCGAGCTTTGCCAGTCGCAGAGGATGCGTGCGGAGTCTCTTCTCCATCTCATCTAGGCCACATTAATTCGAGCCTTTACCGCCTGGTCCACAATACCATCAGCTGCGATGTTGCTCCCCGGGTAATGGAAGCTCTCGAACCTCTGTAGATCTCAGAAACTTGGTATTTACGTTCAATTGGAGTCCATTCTCAGCGAGCACGTGCTACCACGTTGCACCTTGCCCTGGAGTTCCTTCTCGCTCTCCAAGTTTCAAAGTATCTGCTGTCAGTCATTTTTGGTCATCTGGTTCGGCTAATCTCAGTCCGTTCACATTTAGGTACCTTCATCTCTTGACAGAAGAACATGCTGCAATTAAGAAAGAACGAACATTACTCGAAGAGTTCGAGGGTTTAGAAGCCGCTGAACGGGAAGCCTTTCATCAGTTATCAAACAGGTAGAACAGGTTTTCTCTATTTAAATGCCTAGCCCGTGGCTTCCTGTTTATTTGAAACGTTGCAAAATTCAAATTTCTTCAGAGTTCGTGCTTCTCACGAACGAGAACGAGAACGAGCAGAGAAAACAAAGTGGTGGTCCGTAAGTGCATCATTGATTGGTGCCACTTTAGGGATTATTGGTGCTACGATAAGTGAGTGCTAACTCTGCTTAACTTTTTCTTTACTTTGCTTATACCCTCTGGTAGGTGAGACGGAGCCAAGGAGGACGTTCTTGGCACGCTGATGACATAGAAACCGGGATGAGGGGGGTTCTTAGATATCCTACAGTCTTGTTCCCCGCCGATGATGGGGCGTGTCAGTGAAACCGGTTTGGCGCGCTCCAAGCGCGTTCTTCACCAGTTGCTGAAGCGATTAAGGGCTAACAGTAACAGTTAGTGGGAAACGACTGACGAGATCGACATAGTGCTGTCTGGTCGCTTGCGCCATCAAAAAGGTAAAGAAACAAGTTGACGCTGCGTCGAACCATACCGCCCTGACCCTCCCCATCATCCTTAGTGAACAAAAGTGTAGATCCGTGGCCCCGCCCACCCGGCAGTTCCGTAAAGTGACACTAATTATCGATTCGTCACCGAACCTTTCTTCAGGTAACGAGGTGCGAATGCGGCGCCTTCGAGAAATGCTGCCTTTGGGTGGTGCAAAAATGAGCGAAATGTCACGACTTGTTGCGGAGCAAAACGCTAAGGTTGTTATGATCATATTATCATTTGTTCCCAGCCGCTGCCCAAAGAGCGTGTTCATACTTCGCGGTCCGATCGCATGGATCGGGCGATTGCATTGCGTGAGCGTTTGGATCGCGTAGTTGGGTCTTTGGAGCTGTTTGTTCACGCGATTCAACCGTTCGAGCAGTTTGATCGTGCGATCCAGCGATGAACGCGAATGAATGAACGTGCTCTAATGAATCGTTTTTCAGGTAACAGGTTTCATAACGGAAATGCGTGACGTGCTAAAATTAGACACTCTCAAAATCGAGCCCTCGAATGCTTCACTTGAAAATGTCAGTGATGAGAAGGTGATGGATTTAATGTAGTGAAGAGCTCTTGGTTTTCTGGAAAAGGACTGCTTGTCAACTACTTCGAACGGTTTTCATTCAGATCATAGCTGCTATACGCGAAGAGAATGCTCGTCTTTCTGCTCAAATGGCCGAAATCACACGGTTAGCTCGTTTGGAAGCCAGTCTTAACGCCGATCCCAATGCTGTGGTTGGTCTTTTATGTAGTTTTGTGTTGTTATTGACTGGAACACTGTTTTAAAACTCTGAGATTCGTTTGATTTGACTTTATTGCCCTCCACCACGGCGCAAAGATTGGATTGATCACACATTTTTGTCAACTGTTGTGGTACTACCACTGGA